CAACATAGGGAAATTTTAAAATTTTATTATTTTTATTTTATGTGTATGTGTGTATTGCCTGCATGTAGGTAAGTGCACCCGGGCCATGCAATGCCTGTGGAGGACAGAAGAGGCTGTCGGATCCCCTGGAACTGGAGTTACACACAGTTGTTAGCTGCCATGTGGGTGCTGGGATTCAAACCTGGGTCTTCTGCAAGATCAGTCAGTGTTCTTAACCGCTGAGGCATCTCTCCAGCCCCCAACACAGGGAAATTTATAGTGCGTAACCAAAATAGATTTTCTTTATGTTGTGTGTGAACTGGAGTTACAGATAATTGTCAGCTACTATGTGGGTGCTAGGAACTAAACTTGGGTCCTTTGCAAGAGCAGCTTATGCTCGTGTGTGTGTGTTTGTGTGTGTGTGTGTGTGTGTGTATGTGTGCTCTTATTAACCACTGAGCCATCTCTCCAGCTCCAGTAATGAACTTAAAATCTTTAAATTATATTACTTACCAGATTTGTGTTCAGTATTCATTCCAGATCCTTCCCAGGACAATCTCTTTTGTGGTTGATCAACACGGTTACATCGTTCCATTGTACGAGATATAACAGCTTTAAATTTTTCCTATTTAAAGTAAATGCCAGTCCAGTGCACTTACATACATGCAGTCAGTTTCTCTCTCTCTCTCCCACACACACACACACACACACACACACACACACACACACACAATATAAACAAAATAAAAGGTAAAAACAAAATAAAGCAGTGACAGTTGGAAAATACACATAACTGATTTCTTTAAATTGAAATTCAGACTACATGAAATAACTGCTTAGTCATGGCAACAGAATATTGAAGGCAGACAGATAGCCTAAGTTATTTGTTTAATGAAAGCAAATGAAAATTTTTAGTAGATATAGATTGTTTCTTGAGAAAAGATATTTAATGTAATCATAGTTCAAGGAGGAAGGATTATTAGCTGAAACAAAATGAATTTTTACAATGTCGTTCAATGGGGCACAGATACACATTAATGTACCAATTTATATATAAATATGTATATATAATATAGCATATTATACATATTA